CCAACAACTTTGGAAATCCGCGATAGCTAGCTCCCAGCCCGCGGCCTTGAAGCCGAAACGCTTGGCAGCAGCTGCCAAGATGTGTTTCCCAGCTGCGGACGTCCTTGACTGCAAAGCCAAACGAAAGAAGACCCAGGGAGATATCATGGACCAAACTGGGCAAACGTTTTGCACAAGCCAAGCTGCTGCAGCTTGGGCCAGGCAATCGCAAGCAGGCGCTTGACCTGGTACCACCACTTGCGGCAGATATGACACCCAGCAGCACAGGAGAAGGACAAGCCAACCTGTGGCTTCTACCATGGTAACCACGCATAGCGCCCACAAGGGATACAATGAAAAAGGCCGATTCTTAGTTGGCACCTTGTCCGGCAACCAGTGCCCTGGCCTTGGGCCATCGCTCCCACTGCGCTCTGACCGCACCAAACGTAAACCCGGCCCAAGCACAGCATAGCACCTTCCTACATGAGGTGTCCGTCTGATCGCGCCTCTTCCTTCTCTGCACCCATGCTCGTTTCAATGACGCGCTGCACGATGTAGTTCCCAAAGCGGTCCTGGGGGCTGCGCAGGGCTGACTCTGACCAGTCAGCCTGGCCAAACCGAAAAATAATACACAGATCTCCCACACAGTGCATGTGGAGGGGAAACAAGCCCTGGTTTGTGCATTGTATACTAACGTGTTGTTTTTTGGTGCTCTTCTGCGCATTGCGAACATACATCTTTACTAGGGTGCTGACTGAATAACAAAAGGCCGCGTCCATGCATATAAGAAACTGGATCCACAGCTCGCACTATGGTCGCAAACGTGTGTGCGAGAAATCGCACCCCCTGGGTCCAGCATGATCTGCAGCAGCGGCGGGGAGGCGCTCTTTGCAGTGGAGAGGAATGCCGCCATCAGCTCCGCGCGTGCCTGTCGAATCTGGGAACTCTGTTGAGCCCTGTTTGTGATGTTTTCCTTCAGCTGCACCCCGAGAGGTCCCCTGAATGAGCTTGTCAAGACCTTTGTTGTTGCTTTTGCTTGCAAGGGCCACTCGCACGGCCCGACTCTGTGAAAGGACCTTCTCTGTTCATGGCGATCGCGTGCGATGCCATGGCCGCCCGCAAGGGCCGAATTGGCAGCGTTGTAGCTGCGCAAGCAAAATGCACAAAGCATGCCGCGGAATGTCGCGCTGGTCAAATTTCATTTCGACAGATCGCCCTCTCAGGTTGTAGTTGAAGTAGCCAGGTCTCTCAGCTTGACGTCTAACCTTGGTCAAGGGGTCGGCATGCACTGAAGTGGGTCGATAACCCAGTGGTAAGCCCTCTGCTGAGACCGCCCTGAGACACGATTCTACATGACGCAGTCGCATCTGTTGCCTGCAAGCTGCGGAGTCTGCAACCGACGCGGCGTGACTTTTCTGGTGCTTGTGCAGGGCGGCACACTCCGGGTCTCCTGGCCGGCGACACCTTGTCAATGCCCTTGACGGCCGCGCACGCTGCAGCGCAGGGTCTTTCCTCCCAAGCGTCATGCCAGACAACCGCTTTTGCAGTCACCCTCACAAACGCCAGCTTGTTGTCCAAGACTGCTGCGTGAGGACTCCCTACGTAGAACGACGTGACTGGCAAGGCAAGCTCATGCGCCGGCTTCACTTGCGGAACGCCCGCCAATCGTCCCGATCGTGCCCCCAGACCGGGCTGCTTGTCTGCTCTTCCGCTTCCACTTGATGAACCTTCTTCGTCCTCGCCTCTTGCTGATCCGCTGCTTCAGAGCGATCTGGAGGTTCTTCCTGGGGTGGTGCCTGCTGCTTTGCAGGTCATTTCAGTGTTTTCCTGATAGGCCTCATGATGTCGGGATCCGTCGTCGGTGGTGGTCTCGGAAGGCGGCTTCTCAAAGCCTTCAGCCAGGCTTGCTCATCAAGATCTGCGGGCCGCGCCTCCGCACTTGCACTCCGGCACCTCCTACATGATGAAGACAAAGTCGCGCCTCTATCCAAAGCCAGGCGCGGTGATCATTGGCCAGCTGGATGGACTGACGCGCCGCGTAAGACTCGGTGTGGTCAACAGAAAGGCACCCCCCCATCACTCATCCATCGGCTCATAGGACACCTCAGGCATCTCCGGAAGTTTGCACGCAGATTGCTCGCGCTGCTCGAAGTCCGGTCTTAATCACGCTGGTTTCCGCGGCAAGGATGGCCTCCACATCCTTGGTCTCAGCTCAGCACCGACGGCTGCCACTCAGCGCCTTCTGCATCAAGAGGGGCAGGCGGGCTCCGGTGCCAACTTGTCAAGATCAGTCGTGAGGCTCGAAGCACTCTGCTTTCCACTCCTTGGAAATCGCGTGCGATGCCAGTAACGCAACTCAAGGGGGCCGCCTGAGCCGAATTGGCAGCATTGCAAAATGCACAGGACCGGGCAACGCATGCCCTTGAACAAGATTCCCACTTTTAGATCTGGAACGCAAAACGTGCAACTGAGGAAAGGAAGCAGCACTGGCAAAAGTAGCTTGTGAAACTTGAAATGATGCTTCTTGACTTGCTTGATGGCAGGGGCAACAAGCCTTGCAACAGCAGGGTTTTGATGGGCGCCCAAACTGGATAAGGCTGTCGAGCCCAAGTTGTATGGGTTCCTTTATAGTAGCATTCCTAGGTAGTTGGCCAGAGAGATTCTCAGTCTTGATCACCTGCCTCCCAGGGCCAACTTTGAGGCCGGCGAAATCTCTTCGGCCAAGCTGCTTAAGAAGCGGAACAACAGCGCAATCGGTTCATTCAAAATTCGAACACGGCTCTCCACCATTTGAGGGGAGCAGCAAGTTGCCGCATTTCGAGGTCCATATCTGCTGTGCAGCGTGTTTGCACGCGCCACAGGGAATGCTTCAAAGATTAGCTCCAACAAATAAAAGCTCAAGTACAGTATCGCCACAAATCGAGTTCTGAGAGAAATGATAGGAACAGTGTGTTGGGTTGGTCCAGGTCAGCTCTACCCACATCCGGGTTCTTGAGCACTGGCAAGTTCTTGCAGGGACTCATCAGATTCCCAACAAGAGATGTGGTCACAGCCGCATCGGAGGAATCCAACGAATGTCCAAATAAGTCATCCCGTGCGCCATGCCGTGTGCCTCTACCAAGCCAGGAGCCTGCGGCCCGAAGGCAGAGATTTCGAGGCACTTCTCCAATACCTGATGTCAGAGGCATGAGCTTTTGGCAGGCAGCCCTTTTTAGCGACGTTCATAAGTTGGAGGAGACAACAGCCCTGTCCCTCTGCACCTCATCCTGGCCGCGAAACCAGGCCTACTCCTTCGGAACACCACCCGCAGACCTGTGCCCCCACAATGCACCTGTGACTGATAAACTCCTTGAAGCTAAGCCTCACAGCATATTTTCAATTAGCACCTGGGAGAACCAAGCTCGACCCCATACATCGCCTCTGCATGACAATCAACCTGTGTCCATTCTCTTGTCCATGTTGGCAGGTGACAGGGTCAAATCCGTAGGTTTCTGCTCAAAGAATCTGCTGGCAATTAACGTTGACCCCGGGAGCTATACAGGCATGCAAGAGGGGCTCCGCAAAACGGCTCGCAAAAAAAAAGAAAAGACAAAACAAAAAACCGCGTTTGGAGGAGGGAATCAAGAAGCCCATCATCCTCGCAAGTACCACACGCAAACTGCGGGAGGGAATGAAGGCCACGGCACTTTTCCAACATGCAACAGGCTTCGACACGAAGGGATGTTGATCCATACCCTTGTCCCGGTGCCAAAACACGCGTTTTGGAGAGGGAGGGCGGGGCTCCCAAAACCTGCTTTCTAGGCGGGAGGCAAGGACATACAGGAATGCAAGAGGGCTCCCAAAAACCGTCTTTTTGGGAGGGAGGGAGCAGCTCCCAAAAACAGCGCGCATGCAAGAGGGGAGAGCACGGTGTTTTTGGGGAGGCAACGGCAGCTGGAACCTGCATTAGTATCTGAGTTTTCGGTCCTCATGTCGACCTCTACCCCCCAAAGCCCCGCATGGAGCCTCGTTTTTCAATCAACTCGAGCTGATGGCTCTTGTGACAACCTACTCATACAATACAAGGCCGGAACAAACTGCACCACCAAAAACTGTCTGCCCATCCCAAACAATCTATTTTTCGCACATTGTCGCACCCAATCCAGCCCCTCCAACCCGGCTGGGCCCCACTGCAACTCCACCGCTAGGGGCCTCTTAACGTGCATCCATCGTCATGATGAACTTGTCATACAAACATGATCAAACAACATCCAAAACAATCAGCGAAGGGTACCCCCCCAAAGTCATTTGGCAAATAAAGCTGCCACTAGATAGCTCAGGGCGCATTGCCACTAAGCTTGGTTTGCTCCCCATTGATTCCAATTGTTACTGCCGCTGCCAGCTCCCCTTCATGACGCCAACCAAATATGAAAATGTTGGAGTCCATCTTCACGATGATTCCTTTTGACCTTTTCAATTAAAAAAAAACAACACGCCAAAGATAACCTACGGAGCCATGTGCACTGAATATGAGCTTGCTCTATACATAAAGCTAATGATCTGGATTACATCCTGCAAATGGATCAGAATACAAAAGCAAATCAACAACAGCATTGCCCCTTTCAAGAGTATTGCCACAACACACGTCCCTAATTAAAGCTAGTGACTGGGTCCCTTCCTGGAAACAGATCCAAATACAAAAGCATTTCAAAAGCCACATTGCCCCTGTTAAGTAGTATTGCCGAGCATCTTGGAACCTGATCCATACAACGGCAATCACAGTATTATTGCCCCTTTTGAATCAGATTTGTAAAAACAAACACTTCTGCGCACTTCTGGTTCACTTCCAAAGCGATTCAAGAGTAGTAAGTAGTATCATTGCCCCTTTGAATTCTCATTGCCTACCTTCCTGGAATCTGACCGAAGCATAAACAATCACAAAGCAACTCCACAGAAAGTCACTTTGGATTCTAAACAGGACAAATCACCAAATTTGTGTTATTACTGTCAAAGCGAGGCCTTTACTAAGAGAGGTGGACATTTCACCGTGCAGGAGGTGCCAAGCTGGCGTGGCGGTTGCGGGAGAACTTCATCACATCGCTGCGGAACAGCTCCATGACCTCACATCCAGCAAGCGTACGCCGAACGGAATAAATAACGGAACAAGGGAATTAATGCGTGTGCTGTGCATTTGCTTTACAGCTAGCAATCAAAGGTCTTGCGCATGTGGAACCCTCACCATCACTCTACCTGCATGGAAAAGCGGCCAATGCAATTGCCGTGTTGCCTGGCATCTTGGCTGTCCCCATGCTGCATACCCCGTGCAAAATAACCCCAGCAGAAGGCGTACTTCTGCTAATCTTTCAAACAGAGACCACACGCTCGATATGGGCTGACAAATGTATTGCCAGGCCTCGCAAAAGCTGGGTCAAAAATACGTGGCGATCAACTGCGGCCAAGGGGCAGGGCGGACTTGTTCAACTGTGCCACAAACAACAAGGGATCTAATCACCTTAGCTGAGGCAGCTGCATCCAACTATCTAAAAAGCTGCTTCTAGCTACTTCACACGGACACACACACACACACACACCCGCACACACACAGACACACACGCCACATATATATATATATATATATTCTGTATGTGATATGCAAAAATGAATAGGCAGATAGATAAATAGACAGATAGATAAATAGACAGATAGATAAATAGATAGATACACTTAGAATATATTTTACTCCGAAAAATTCCCAAAACATCAGATAGAATATTTAGGAGCACAAGAGTCACTTAGAATAATTCACATTTGTGCAAATCCTTGAAATTTGAACACCCTTTCAGGTGGCCAGCCGATAGAATATGTTTTGACAGATAGAATATTTCAGCAAGCTGGGTCACAAGGCAATTTCACACAGATTGACCAATTGATGGTGTCGAACCGTTTGATGGCATCGAGCCGCGCAGATGCATGGGGTCAAGGAAGAAGAAGTGAATAATAAAAGCAGATGGTGATGTCTCAGATGTCCATGAAGCATTGCTAGTGAGAAATGAGCTTAGAGGGGGGGGAAGCTCGAACGCTTTCACGAAAAGCTCAAAGGTAGAAACTTTGGAGTTGCACGCGGGCGGTAAAATCAGGTCCTCCGAGCCAGGACTAATTTTAGCATTGCCGGTACTCAATTTTGCATTGCCAGTACTAGTTTGAGAATAGTACTCCTTTATATTGTCAGTACTAATTTTAGCATTGCCAATAGTAAATTTAGTATTGGCAGGACATTCTTGCTACTGCCGGTACTGAATTTAGCATTGCCAATATAGACTTTGGATTGCCAATGCTAAGCCTAGTAAAGTTTAGCAAGGATTTGAACCGTAAAATTCTTTATTTAAAAACGTGTCCTGGAAGGTTTTTGGCTACGAGAAGAGGGGGTAGCTTTGCCGCAACAGTCAATTTAGTATTGCCAGTACTAACTTTAGTATTGCCAATAGTAAACTTAGTATTTGTATCAGATAGAATAATTCAACAAGGGCCGTAGATTTTCAAAATAACCCTGTTCTGATAACACACTTCTCGACTTGCTTTGGACTGCCAGGACTAAACTTAGTATTGCCTATACCTCCTTTCAAAGGTCATTTTCCAGACCTCGCAGCCTTTGTATCTGACACAGATTATTCTATTTGTCTGTTCCACTCCCAAGGATTTGCACAGGAATGTCAAGATTTGGGATTACTCGAACGGTCTCATTTATTCATATGTGGTCTCGGTACTGTTTGGGGTTGGGTTAAAAGGAAAGGAATGCCAACCCGTTTTGGGACATAGTGGGGTACCCTCAAAAAGTAAGCAAACACATATTTACTTTCTCTATATATGATATGTATATGTTTATATATTTGCATACAATTGAATGCATGATGAAGGTTTCCTGGCCCAAACACACATATTCTAGCTGTGCCACTCCATGGTGGTCATTTGTATTTTGGGCTCGGTACCGTTTGGGGTTGGGTTAAAGGGAAAGGAAGGCCACCCCTTTTTGGAGAATAGTGGGGTACCCTCACAAAACGCAAATCCACATCTGCTATGTATATTATATATATATATATATGTGTGTGTGTTTATGTGTGCATACGATTAATTGCCTAATGAAGGTTCCTGGCCCAAAAACAAATATTCTAACTGTGCCCCCCGATGGTGTACAATGTATAGCTTCGGCTGGGTACCGTTTGGGGTTGGGCTAAAGGGAAAGGAAGGCCACGCTGTTGGACCCTCAAAGAATAAACAAAACAATATGTACTATCTCTATATCTTTCATTCTGCCTGCGATTCATCACCTGATGAAGTTTTGCAAAAAACACATATTCTAACTGTGCCACCCCATGGTGTTCATTTGTATTTTGGGCTCGGTACCGTTTGGGGTTGGGTCAAGGGGAAAGGAAGGCCACCCCTTGTTGGAGTGTACTGAAGAGCCCTTAAAAAATAAGCCATCCCTTGCTCTCTCTCTCTAATATTTATATATATATATATGTATTAAAGTGTGGCCTGATGAAGGTTTTCCGCCTCTATCTGTGCATGGTGTTCATGTATAGCTTCGGCTCGGTATCGTTTGTGGTTGGGCTAAAGGGAAACGAAGGCCACGCTTTTAGACCCTCAAAGAATAAACAAACCAATATTTACTATCTCTATATCTTTTATTATGCCTACGATTCATCACCTGATGAAGTTTTGCCAACCACACATATTCTAACTGTGCCACCCCATGGTGTTCATTTGTATTTTGGGCTCGGTACCGTTTGGGGTTGGGTCAAAGGGAAAGGAAGGCCACCCCTTTTTGGAGTGTACTGAAGTAAAAAATAAGCGCTATTATATATATATATATATTAAAGTGTGGCCTGATGAAGGTTTCCCGGCCCAAAAACACATATTCTATCTGTGCCTCCCCATGGTGTTTATGTATAGCTTCGGCTCGGTACCGTGTGGGGTTGGGCTAAAGGGAAAGGAAGGCCACGCTTTTGGACCCTCAAAGAATAAACAAATCAAAATTTACTAAATCTATATCTTTCATTATGCCTACGATTCGTCACCTGATGAAGTTTTGCCAAAAACACATATTCTAACTGTGCCACCCCATGGTGTTCATTTGTATTTTGGGCTCGGTACCGTTTGGGGTTGGATTAAAGGGAAAGGAAGGCCACGCTTTTGGACCCTCAAAGAATAAACAAATCAATATTTACTATCTCTATATCTTTTATTATGCCTCTTCTGATGAAGTTTTGCCAAAAACAAGTATTCTAACTGTGCGCCCCCATGGTGTTCATGCATATTTTGGGCTCGGTGCCGTTTGTGGTTGGGTTAGAGGGAAAGGAAGGCCACCCCTTGTTGGAATATACTGGGGTACCCTCACAAAATAAGCAATCCAATATTTACTATCTCTATATTTAGTAATTTATGCATACGATGAATCACCTGATGAAGGTTTGCAAAAGCAAATATTCTATGTGCCCCCCCCCCCCCCAATTGTGTTCATGAATATTTTGGGCTCGGTACCGTTTGAGTCTCTGGAGAATTTGGTGTATATGAAATATTCTATCTGTTTGTGGGAGAGGGGCATGGCCCGTCGGGCTGAGCATTTGAGCTCCGAAAAAGAGAGAAGCCATGCATTCCTCTGGTAAATGCGTGTGTCTTTCTTAGGGGGACCCCTCAAAACGGTTGGTTTCCGTTTGGTTTTGCATCACCTTTGAAAGGGAGACGGACCCAAATGGAAAATCATGGGGCCCACATGGTTTGCTGAAAGCCGTATATAGAAACATCTAGCAACAGGCTAGCAGCTAGGACATTTATCGCAGAGTAGTTGTTCATAGCAGAAACCCTTATATTGAAATATTCTATCTGTTTGTGGGAGAGGGGCCTGGCCCGTCGGGCTGAGCATTTGAGCTCTGAAAAACAGAGAAGCCATGCATTCCTTTGGCAAATGCGTGTGTCTTTCTTTGGGGGACCCCTCAAAACGGTTGGTTTCAGTTTGGTTTTGCATATACCCTTGAAAGAGAGACGGACCCAAATGGAAAATCATGGGACCCATGGTTTCCTGAAAGCTGTATATATATTTATATAGAAATATCTAGCAACGGGCTAGCAGCTAGGACATTTATCGCAGAGTAGTTGTTCATAGCAGAAACCCCTATATTGAAATATTATATCTGTTGTCTTCTTTTTTGTTGAAACATTCTATCTTTAATTTTTGCTTTATTCTAACTGACTTTTTCCTATTTATTCTAACTCATTTTTGATAGACTTTTGAAATGTGCATGTTCCTTTACTCTAAAAAATGCATTCTAACTGCTAGCCCGGTACTATACATACATACATACATACTTACATTACATTACATTACATTACATTACATTACATTACATTGCGTTACATTACATTACATTACATTACATACATACATACACACATACACACATTACATACATACGTACATTCATACATACATACATACATTACATTCATACATACATACATGCATACATACATCACATACATACATACATACATACATACATACATACATACATTACATACATACATACATACATACATACATCATTACATTACATTACATTACATTACATTACATTACATTACATTACATTACATTACATTCATACATAAATACATACATTACATACATACATACATACATACATACATACATACATACATACATACATACATACATACATACATACATACATACATACATACATACATACATACATACATACATACATACATACATACATACATACATACATACATACATACATACATACATACATACATACATACATACATACATACATACATACATACATACATACATACATACATTACATACATACATACATACATACATACATACATACATACATACATACATACATACATACATACATACATACATACATACATACATACATACATACATACATACATACATACATACATACATACATACATACATACATACATACATACATACATACATACATAATACATACATTACATACATACATACATACATACATACATACATACATACATACATACATACATACATACATACATACATACATACATACATACATACATACATACATACATACATACATACATACATACATACATACATACATACATACATACATACATACATACATACATACATACATACATACATACATACATACATACATACATACATACATACATTACATACATACATACATACATACATACATACATACATACATACATACATACATTACATACATACATACATACATACATACATACATACATACATACATACATACATACATACATACATACATACATACATACATACATACATACATACATTACATACATACATACATACATACATACATACATACATACATACATACATACAGATATACATACATTACATTACATTACATTGCATACATACATACATACATGGCAGTTGATCAATATTCCTGTTTCGGGAAAACGCCATCTTCGCGAGAAAAAAAGTTTCTTTCGCGAATCTTTCGCGACTCCATCGCCACGCCCTTCTGTTTGCAGCGTGCGCTCTGGAGCCATTGTGACTGCTGCAGTTATGCTTGCAAACGTGCAGTACGTAGTGTTAAGTGCGAGCAGTCACCGTCATTCGCCCTTGCCACTTGCGCTTGCCGGCGATGCGCGGAACCTTGCAACAAGCTCCCTGGCCTTTCGCCGGTCTTTCGCGGATCTTTCGCGACTTGCTCCAAAATAGCCCAGCTAACGTTATTGATTTGCACCATTCCCAAGACAGTCAGGAAATCAATGCTGCAAGTGTAGGTGCTGCGTATCTCCCTATCTACAAGGGAGCGGGGTCTGCAAATATGTAAGTGCACAGGCATGCCTCCAAGAATCCAACGCGGAATCTTTCGCGAACAAATAAGTTTCTTTCGCGAACTCCATCGCCGATCTTTCGCGAACTCCATCGCCGATCTTTCGCGGAAATTTAAGCCAAGATGAATGGTCACCGAATACATAACTCCTTGCAAGGACCTTTTGATCAACCCCCACATACATGCATACATGCATACATACATACATACATACATACATTGCATGCATGCATGCATGCATGCATGCATGCATACATACATACATACATACATACATACATACATACATACATTAGGGGGATGCATGAATGAATGGATGGACGGACGGATGGATGGATAGATGGATAGATAGACAGATAGATAGATTGGCTACATGCGGCCCCTCGCAGGTTAGATTGGCTTTTAGATGGATGGATAGATGGACAATTTGATTAGACATGATAGATGGCTAGATTGCAATATATATCATATTAGATTAGATTAGGTAGATAGGTAGATAGACGGCTAGATAGGACAGAGAGGGCAGAATGGACAGGTAGGGCAGATATGAGAGATAGGAGAGATAAGATAGGATAGATAGGATAGGTGGGATAGATGGGATAGATGGGATACATGAGATAGGATGGGATGGATGGGATGGGGTGGATGGGATGGGGTGGATGGGATGGGGTGGATGGGA